TGTTATAACTTTTAAAAAATAATGTAAACATTGAAAATTATCCGAAATTGCGAGTTTACTTAAAAAGACAGAAGGTTTGAAAAACAAAAAATCTAAAATTTTACATGCTGATCAGATAAAACTTTTTTTAAATAAAGCTCTTGATGTACAATATTTATTAACAAAGGTATGTTATTTAATAGTACCTATAACATAAATGTATACTTATATTACTTTTTTGTTAAGGTTATTGCAACTGTTGGAATATGTGGAGCTTGTAGGAAACGAGAATTAAAAAAATATTAAAATTAATGATATCGATGATTAAAGTACCATATTATTGGTTAAAATCCCTGATACGAAAACCAAAGTATGTAGATCTTTCGTAATTTCCGAAAATTTCTATAAAATCTGCAGACAATATACAGGGTTGGCCAAACCTCTGCAAATCTTAACAATTTATTTGATGTATACCTGTCAATGGTGGCCAATACCAAATATCCCAAAATTATTTTCTTGTGTACAGGGTGGCCCAATAGTAAATTAGGCAAATCACTTAATTTTTTTTAAATGGAATGACCCAACTTTTTTTACAATTTTAGGTACTCTATGGTCACTAGTACATACCCACAAAATATTGTTTCTAACATCCCACCCCTTTCGCAGAAAAAAATAATTACCAAAAAATATTACATTTTCAGACGCCTATTAAAATGTGCAGTGCTCTCTCGAATTTGATGCTAGAATTTAAAAAACTACGATTGTATAAAGCCAATAGACCAAAGATTTTTTTGGACCAAGTTTGAATTTTTAGTTTGTACAGGGTGGTCACAAATTAATTTCACTTACCAAAAATTTCGAGGGAAATTTTTTAAAATTTTTCAAATGTATTACCCTGTATTTCTATTTATCAACTGAAGGAGAATTTCATACCCTTCCACTTCCCTATGTACTTTCCTATACCTATCTGTCGCCGTTATAAAATAAATTCAAAAGGAAGAAAATTACGATAATAAAATTTATTTGAAATTTATCCTAAAACATAAATTTACATTTTATAAAAGATGCTCAAAATGTCTGCCATTTTCTCTAATGCATACATTTATTCGTTGGGCGAATGATCGTGAAACGTTTCTAAGCATATCAGGTGTAATGGAATGGAAAGCTTGCACTATCCTTTCTTTCATATTTTCAGGTGTTAAAAGCTGGCCATTTTTTGGACCATTTCTACCAATCCATCTATTTGAAAACTTTTTATCTAATTCATCTGCCACTTCGCGTAAAAAATGCGCTGCTGCCCCATCATGTTGGTACCACATTGTTAGTCTTACAGCAAGGGAAATGTTTTCAAGTAAAGTAGGAAGATGATTTGCTAAAAAATCTAAATACATCAGACCATTTAAGTTGCCTTCAAAAAAATACGGCCCAATAACATGATCCCCAATTATACCTCCCCAAATATTTACACTCCATCTTTCTTGGCTATGTGTTAGGATTTTCCGTGGAATAATAGTGGAAATTATGTCTATTAAGGAATCCGTTCTTGTGGAATGTAGATTCATCAGAAAACAGCACTCTATAAAAAAAATGGATTTTGTTGCAGTTTAGTTTGTGCCCAGTTACAAAACCATTCTATTATCAAAATCGGTGTCTTTCAGCTCTTGATGCACTTGTATTTTATAAGGATGATATTGATGCTGTTTTAAAATCCTTCTAACGGATGTTCTACTTATACCTACTACTTCGGCAATCTTTTTTTGACTTACATGAGGATCTTCTATCGTTGTCAAAATTACAGATAATTGGTTATCATTATCAGTAGCACGTTTGTCAATTATTGGTTTTTTATAGGCAACATTTCCTGTTTCGGTAAATCTTTCATGTAACTTTTCAAAACTTTTTTGATCAGGGATGCGTCTATCGGGATATCGTTGATGATAAATTCTTTTTGCCAATAAACAATTTCTGTCGGATTCTCCCAAAACATAGACCATGTCAATTAATTCGTTTTTCGTAAAATTCATTATTAATAGAAGAATTATCGCGATCAGTAAAAATAACTTGACACTTCATTAATAAATAATCTGACACTTCATTAAGACCCAGCCTACTTGATTGAATGTTCACTTTCAATAAAACCACTGGTAGAAATTGGATTTTTGATAGATCAATGTCTTTTTGGAATTTACTTTTAAACGACGACAGATAGGTATAGGAAAGTACATGGGGAAGTCGAAGGGTATAAAATTCTCGTTTCATCGTTCAATTTGAAAAATTTGAAAAAATGTCCTAGAAATTTTTGGAAATTGAAATTAATTTGTGACCACCCTGTACAAAATAAAAAATTAAAACTTGGTCTAAAAAATCTTTGGTCTATTGAATTTATACATTTGTAGTTTTTTAAATTCTAACGTCAAATTCGAGAGAGCACTGCATATTTTAATAGGCGTCTGAAAATATAATATTTTTTGGTATTTCTTCTTTTTCTGCGAAAGGGGTAGGATGTTAGAAAAAATATTTTGTGGGTATGCACTAGTGACCATAGAGTACCTAAAATTGGAAAAAAAGTTGAGTCATTCCATTTAAAAAAAAAAAAAAGTGATTTGCCTAATTTACTATTGGGCCACCCTGTACACAAGAAAATAATTTTGGGATATTTGGTTTTGACCACCATTGACAGGTATACTTCGAATAAATCGTTAAGATTTGCATAATAGGACTTATAGAACTACGACAGAGGTTTGGCCAACCCTGTATAGAGATTCGGCAACAAATTAGCGATCCACAAATTAACCAATTTTTCCTTAACTATCAAGAAGGTAAATGTACGAAACAAGTGGTAGGATTAAACAACATAGGTGGTGTTCCTAAATAAATAGCCGAATATTTAAAGTTATCAGATCGCAAAATGTATACAGGTCACTGTTTAAGACGAACTTCTGCCACTCTTTTGGTTGATGCTGGTGGTGATCTAATGACTCTTAAACGACATGGCGGATGGAAATCTTCAACAACATCTGAAGGATAGCTCGATAAGTCAATAAATAATAAGATGTCAATAACCAATAGAATTATAAATTCAATTGAAAATAATCTACAAACCTTTACATATACTGAAAATACCAATGTCCAAGAAGAACACACCGTACAGTTTACGTCATCTCACCATTCACCGCGCAAGGGAATAGTTAAAAATAATTGACAAAATGTTGAAGAACACACCGTACAGTTTACGTCATCCCATCATTCACCGCGTAAGGGAATAGTTATAAATATGTGCCAAAATGTTACAATTAATTATTACAAATAAATGTTTAATTAAAATTATTCCAGAATTTTGTGAAATAAAGTTACTTGTTATGCTTTTTATTTCTATAAATTAAAATAGTCGTAGAAAAAGTATAGTACACAACAAGAGTTGTAAGCTTATTACATGCTCATAAAATACTGCGCTCGCCACTACGCGGCTCGCGCGCAACTTTTTTACTCGCTTGTAATAAGCTCCTTACAACTCACGTTATGTAATATATTATTACTACGTCTTTGAAACTTTAAAATTTTTACTTATACAGTAAGGACATATAGGTTGGAATTTTTCTAACAAAATGCTTTCACAGATCAATAATTGTTATTTTCAACTAAGCGTCTTACGTTAAAATTTGATGTACTAATGACGTCATCGATTTTCTTTTAAATAGAACATTTTTCTTTTCATTTTTAAATTCCTAAATAGACGATTACAAAAGTGTATGTAATACTTATAGTCCAGTCATTGGTTTCTAAACTAAAGACAAATGTTATATCAGAAATTTTGAATCTAAAATTTTATTGAAAGGGCTGGTCTAATACATTTTCAATTTTGATTAATTTAAATAATTAATAGAATACATTTTAAAATTAAATGTTAAAAGTACCTACTGTTGACTTCCTGGTAATAACCAAGTCAGTTTCTAAATTCCTCTGACACTCTGGTCTATATAAGTTTTACAAACATTTTTGTAATCGACTATTACTGAGGGATTAAAAAATTAAGAGAAAAATATGTTCTATTAAAAAAAAACAATGACGCCATTAGTACATACAACTGTAGCGTAAGACGGGGTTCTAAACTAATTCCTTACAGATGACACTTCCTCCCACTTTACAAAATTCAAGCTGGAGGGTTGTTCAGTAGAGTTCGTATAAAGTTTAAGACGTGACAACGTCGCTTTTCATATTTTGTGATTTCTGTACACTCGGTACAAAAGTAGTTATTAATTAAGACTCGGTCGATAAAGATTTGATTATTGAAAACCGGCTATACAATTAATTCGGTATTTTTGATATTATAATTAATATTGCACTTTCCTTTTTTTTTTCTTAACCCCATCCCAAAGTGCCCATCAATAACTTTGGATACGACCGTCAAGAATATCGGTAAGTTATTTTTATGGATTTATTTAGCCCATAAGGCAATTTTCCGTAACATTTTTGGTTCTTCGGCTCGGATAATAATAATTGTTGATTTTCGTATAATATATGAGAATTAAGTTTATTTTTTGAGTGACTATTAAGTAATAATAAATTAATTGTTAATTTCGGAATTTCGGTTTTTTCGGTAACTCTAGTAGTTTTTTTAGCGGTTTCTTTTTACTATTTTAATCGGTAAATAGTTTTAAAGTACAAAGGTCACTTATTCGGTACAAATCGGTAGAAAACAAAAGGTATTTGTATTTTGGTATGTTTTTAACGTATTAATAGATATAAATTTCAGTTAATTTAAATAAGTATTAGAAAACGAAATTTCGAATGGTTAAAGATAAACGTTGTTTGTACTTTGAGTTTTTTTTTTTTTTAGTTTATGGGTAGAGGTCGGTTTTCAGCTCTTAATCATCAAAATTTGAATGTTTGGTTTTTTGGTAACAAATGTGGATATGCTTTACCACTTATAAATAGAAAATAAATATTACCTAGTACTTATAAAAGTTTAATTAAGAAATAATTTAACAATAATATTTTGTCGAGTTTTGTAATATTTAAAAATGGCCGGTGCGGATGAAAGAAAACTGAAGATTTTGACGGCCAAAAAACAGTCTTCATTTGGTTCTTTGCAACGTCTTTATGATTTATCTAAAAAAGTTAACGATGCGACTAATCGAAAAAAATTTGAAATTTTTTATAGGTCTTTAGAAGAAACTCGACAAAAGTTATTAGAAACGGTAGTACAGGAAAATGAACAGAATTTAGTAGTTGACGAAAAGTTTATTCCAAATTTTTCGATTTATCAAACAATAGATGACTTATATTGTAATATTAAGGAAATTGCAGATAAATTTCCAACTGATACGTCCTCCAGGTCCAATGCTGGGTAGAGTGATGCAGGTCATAGTTTACCTAGACTTCCAAAGATTGAAATACCCGAATTTTCTGGAGATCTTCGGGACTGGAAAACTTTTATTCAATTTTTAAAAGTTTAATTTACGATAATAAAGCTTTGTCTGATGTTGATAAGGTTTATTATTGAGTAGGTCGCCTCAAAGGCTCGGCTTTGGGGGTTTGCTCAGGGGTAGCACCAACTGGTGGTAATTATTCAATTATTTGGAATGCTCTGGTAGATAGATATCAAGATAAAAAATCTTTAGCAAATAGTTACTTGGATCAAATAATGGATTTTAAACGTTTACAGGGTGAATCGTCCAAAAATCTTTAACTATTTTTAGAAAAATTTGATACTGCGGTTAAAGCTTTAAAAAATTTAAAAGAAAATAATTTAACTGATTTAATTTTAGTACATGTTGCTTTAACAAAGCTAGATCCACAAACAATTAAAACTTTTGATATGTTAAAGAGAGATTCAGATATACCCAAATATGAGGAATTGATTACTTTTGTTAAAGAACAGTCTAAGATATTATCTAATAGGAAGCCAATTGTTAGTAAGGTTAATTTTGATAATAAATTTAAATCCAAGTCATTTGTGGTTAGTAATAATTATTCAAAATTTTTTAAATTTAGCTCTTGTCAATTTTGCAATAATAAAGGACATTATTTAGCGAGGTGTGAAAAATTTAAGCGCTTAAGTCCTATTAAGAGGTATGAAGCGGTACGTGATAACAATTGGTGTTAGAGATTGTCCGGTTGATAGAACATGCACAGAGTGTTGTAATAAACATCATACCTTATTACATTTAGGTAAAACAAATACAGTAGCAGGTGCAAAGCCTCAGATTGTTCACAATTTAGGAGAAACATCCAAAATAGATAAGGGTTCGGAATTACCTACTGTTGAAAATGATGGTAAAAATTTATGTACAACTTTATCGATACAAAATGGGGCTAATTTAGTAATATTACCAACGGTTGTAGTTAATGTTATTAATTGTTCGGTGAAAGGCGGCCAGGCTAGGTTTATTATTGACAGCGGAAGTCAAATTCATTTGTTTACCACACAAGCTTGCAAAAGGTTGGGTATTAAGATTTTGCAATTTCATTCATTAATTGAAGGTTTGGGGAATAATTCTCAACCTGTAAAAGGGATTTATAATTAAATAGTAGGTTCCCGGTATGACGAAAATAAAGTTTATTCATTGCGAGCACTCATAGTAGACAAAATTTCTAATAAATTACCTAAAGTTCAAGTTAACAAAGAAAGTGTTTTTTCTCAATTACGTGGTATTCAGTTGGCCGATGATAACTATCATCAACCAAGTGAGATTGATGGTATAATTGTAGCCGAACTATTTGGAGAAATAATGGAATCAGGTCGAGTGATTGGTTCGGATGGTACATCTTTGGCGACTCAAACTGTTTTTGGATACGTAGTTATATGGAACGTTTCTGTTGATAAAAGATTGTCGCAAGGACGTGTTCTGTTTACACTTTCAGATGGGGCACCTATTGAACAATTGGTTAGTAAATTTTGGAAATTAGAACAAGTCCCTAAGAAACCGTTACCAGAACCAGAGGAAAAGGAATGTGATAGTATTTTTTTTAAAACGTATAGTAGGGATTCTTCGGGTAGGTTTTCCGTAGCACTTCCTTTTAAAGGTTCTCCAAAGGATTTAGGTGATTCTAAACGGGTAGTATTGTCTCGTTTGATAGGTTTGGAATGAAAGTTTATTAAATCTACAAATCTTCGGAAAACGTACATTGAAATTATGAGGCATTTCATCGCTCAAGGCCATATGAGATTAGTAATAAATAAAAATAACCAGTTTTCATGTTATTTTATACCCCATCATGTAGTATACAAACCAGATAGTACCACTACCCCTGTCAGAGTGGTTTTGGATGCTAGTTGTCCTTGAGATTCTGATATTTCTTTAAACAATTTGTTGTATAGCGGACCAAAATATCAAACTGAGATATTTTCTTTAATAATAAATTTCAGGCTCTTCAAGATCGCTTTGACAACGGATATTCGGCAGATGTACCGGTAGATAAAATTGATAGATGATCATTGTAGGTTCCAAAGAGTGTTATGGAGGTTTGACTCTTCGGAAGAAGTCAAAACTTACGAAGTCACTAGAGTGCCGTTTGGGGTAAAATCATCCCCATATTTAGCATTAAGGACTATTCGAAAATTAGTTGAAGAGGAGGGTCATAAATATCCTTTCTCATCGGAAGTTATACTAAGAGATTTGTATATGGATGATTTAGTTTCGAGTGTTAGAAATGAGATAGAAGCAAAGCAGTTGTATGACGAGTCAATTAAAATGTTTAAAGCGGGAGGTTTCGATTTAACAAAATGGTCAACTAATTCTAAAATTATTCTTAATCAAATCCTGTTAGATAAGCGGTTGGCTAAGGCGGTTGTATTTGAAACGAATACCAAAATTATTGGATTGCAATGGAATCCTTTATAAGATACGTTGGGATTTAAGTTAGCGCTACCGGATTCTCTTTGTACAAAACGGACAATATTTTCTGCAGTAAGTTGTTGTTACGATCCAATTGGTTTACTTGCACCTTTTATTCTTTATTTAAAATTGTTGGTTAAGGAGTTATGGCGTTTGAATCTCGGATGGGATGAGAGTCCTCCGGAGTTAGTTGCGTCCAAGTGGTATAAAGTACGGAATGAATAGTCAGAACTTGAAAATTTTGAACTATATCGGAGTTTGGAAGTAGAATTGGATTTTCCAATCACGTTGTAAGCATTCGGAGATGCTTGTTAAGAAGGTTACGGAGCTGTTGTATATTTAAAGTTTATATCGGCCAACGGCGATCCAAAAGTTAAATTTGTTTGTGCTAAGTCCAAGGTTACACCGATGAAGATACTGTCAATTTCTAGATTAGAATTGTGTGCAGCAGTTTTCTTGTCAGATCTTGTAAGGCATGTTCATAACGTCTATTGGAAAAGGGTATTAATTTCTAAAATCTATGCATTTTCAGACTCTACAGCAGTTATTCAGTGGTTAGAGTCAACTCATCTTAAGGATATTTTTGTGGCAAATAGGGTGCAACATATTAAAGAACAGCTTCCTACTGCAAAATGGTGTCATATTGCAGGTGAACATAATATTGCGGATAGTCTTAGTAAAGGATTAATCCCTTCTCGGTTAATAAAGAACCATCATTGGATATCGGGTCCAACATGGCTTCAAACTAGAGAGGAAAATTGGCCAATTAGTTTTATACAGTTAGGTTTGTTAAACCAAAAGGTGTTGGTTGCTACAGAAAATTTGGAAGATAATACTTTGTATAATCTTATAGTTGGAAGGTCTTCGTGGTTATTTATTCTGCGGACAATGGTGTATGTACTTAGATTTTGTAAATAACTATCATTTGCTAAAGTAATTTCAGCGATCGATTTGGAAAAGGCGGAACTTTTGTTAGTTAAAGTTGTTTAGAATAGATATTTCAATTCGGATATAAAATGTCTAGAAAACAAACTTCCTTGTTCATCAAGGCTCAGGAAATTACAACCCTTTCTTCAAAACGGTTTATTGAGGGTGGAAGGAAGATTGTCCCAATCTTCCTTGAGTTTTGATCAACAACATCCTTTGATTCTTCTTTGGAAAGATCCTCTGGTTGATAGAATTGCGAATTATTATCATAGGTGTAACATGCATACCGGTCCTTATTTGTTAGAAGCCATAATCAGGCAGAAATATTGGATATTGGCAGGTAGGAGCACAATTAAAAGTAGGATACACGCTTGTAATAGGTGTTTTAGATATAAAGCTTCAGAACTTCACCCTCTTATGGCAGATCTACCATCTGCAAAAGTAAAACAAGCCAAAGTGTTTCTACATACGGGCATTGATTATTTCGGTCCTGTCAGTATAACACGGGCGAAAACGAGGTGCTCAGGTCTATAAGGCATATGTGTGTCTTTTTGTCTGTATGGCAGTTAAAGCAGTCCACTTGAAATTGGTCAGTTCCCTATCGACTTCACATTTTTAAGGGCTTTTAAAAGATTTTTATCGCGACGCGGTCCATGTTCGGTTTTATACTCTGATCGGGGCACCAATTTTGTCGGTGCTAAAAAGGTATTGTTAGATTTGAATACTTTATTTAATTTAGATGAATATCAGGATGCTATAGGTACGGAGTTAGCCAATCAAGGTGTTACTTGTCGGTTAATTCCAGGAAACGCGCCGCACATGGGAGGGCTTTGGGAGAGTAACGTTAAAGCAGCAAAATCACATATTTTTAAAGTCATCGGTGATCAATTGTTAACATACGAAGAGTTTTCAACCCTTCTAACTCAAGTTAAGGGACTTTTGAATTCTAGGCCCTTATGTCAGTTATCATCGGATCCGTCAGCTCCTCAACTTTAACGCCAGCTCATTTTTTAACGTTGGCTCCATTGAATAGTTTGCACGCAGAAGATGTAACTCAAATTAATATTAATAGATTGGACAGATTTCAAATAATAGATCGGATGGTACAAGATTTTTG